CGAGCACATATAGGCGATCGGCGGGCTATGGACCCGCTGATCGCCTATATGTGTGACACCCGGTACCGGGTGTGTGCATTGTCGGGTCTTTTCTGCCCGTGCGTGCCCGCTAGGGGGCGCGCGCGAGCAGAAAAAAATTGCCGTCTGGAGACGGCAACCCGCAGATGCAGCAGTGCCGTCCGTCCGTTTTTCTACTACGGGCGGACGGCAAGAGGTTAAAGTTGATTGTTTGTAAGTGTAGGTAAACAGAATAATCATGTGACACATTTCAAGTTTGTCTGATGTCTTTCAGTGTGACAAAAAACTTGCCTTGCTGTGCCTAGATAAAGTCCTGTACATGTATTATATTTAGAGTTGTTTATACAAGAACATTGATATTATCCAACTTACATTTTGAACTGGATTTCCAATGAATTAACTTTATTTTCAACTATGTTATATTTACAGAAACAGCAGCAGGACGTGGTACTGCTCAAGGCAGACTTGTAGCCTCACCACCAACCAAGGGTGCTATGGCGAAATGCTTGGTCCTTCCCCAACATTCCGAGTCCACTATAGAGGAAGCTGCATCACTGCTGCATCCTTTTTTTTTCTTTCAATAAACTTTATTGCACCATGAACAATGCAATACGTGTTACACATGATGCTGTCTGCCAGACCCTGCTCTACCTCATCTAATGTGTTTTGCCCCATAAGGAGCTTAATGACAAATTTAAATTTTCAGTTATACTATATTTAATTATATTTTAGCAGAGCACTTAAAATCAAAGGTTTGTGATTCAGTCTTAAATTGATATTAAAGTCACTCCCCCCCCCCCCCCATGCCACTTTAAGGACCTACCTTAAATTATGCCTCTTGATCTGATCAACATTTTCTTTCCAGTAGTTTTCAGAAAGAGTCCATCCAGCGCTTGTGCCAGTCTCTGATCCATACACATCTCCCCACCCAGCTCTTAGCAAGCTGGGATGCTCTGGCCAGCACTCTGCCCATATCCCGGCAAACTGGATGTCTGGTGTGCAGTGGCTTTCCAGTGTGCAGCGGACAGGGAGCTGTCTGGAGCCCGGGGCACTCCATGGGAGTCCCTGTGCAGCAGGCGGTGTCTGTCCCTATAGGTGTATGTGGGTGTATGTGTGAGTGTATTGCAGCTGATCATGGCTCGGACTGATCACCTTAGTGCTGCTACCTTACATTCTAGGACTTTTAGTGCTCCAAGCTGTGCATGTGACAGTGCAATTCCAGCATTATAGTCAGCTGTGTCTAGGTGTGATATTATGGGGATCAGACGGGCGTTTTCAGTTCATGAACTCTCTGCTTATTCTTTGGTATAGTTCAAAGCTATAAAGATAAATGCAGTGCACTTTGAAAGGGTACTGCCAAACTTGCAGCAGATTAAGTGTGCTTAATGTGCAGTATAATGCTTGGCATGCTCTCCAAGAAAAACCTTCACGGCTCCAAGATCACACTTGGAAAACCAAGGAAGTTTTCACCATGTACATGTTAAAGAAACCTCAGGCCAATACAGATTTTTAACACAGTCACTTCTGCTTTCAAAGACGTAGAGTGTGCATACTCAAAATTCTACAACTATGTGTGACAAGACATATACAGCCAATGTCATCTGCATTGTGCCAGTTACGTTTGATGTACCTGAAATACACGCCACCACACTACATTGAGCAGGTGGCTCTCTATCCTTTGTTCAAGCAGGGCTTGCTAGCCTGTACTATTAACCTACAAGCCAAGTAGAGTGATTGCTAGGATATGTTATGATCATTTAATCATCCATTAAAACTTCTATTTTAGCCAAGGCCAAAACTTCTTCCTAGTTTTGGATAAAGGAGCAAGGGTTAGAACTCTTTTGTGGATGTTGAAAGGAAATTTCCCAAAGTTAGGAAAACCCCAGTTTGACAGTCACTTACTGAAACTGGTGTCCCCATTGAGAGATTCCCCCTATAGTCCTGGTGACAACTGCACATTTTTAGATTTCTCTTCCCGGATAATCATTATTATTATTATTATTAAGTGTCCCTGGTGGTTCTAATGCTTCTGTGAATTTTTACTTGAAACAATTAGCATATATAGCATACCTGAACCCAAAAACTAAAATTGTAAATATTGCCATTTACTAGTTATTAAATGAGGTGGCTGCATTTGTTTTCTTTTTTCAGGCTTTTGATCCTTGCTGATCATTAGACATGTGCACTGCCAAAAAATTCGTTTTGTTTCGTTTTAAATTCGGATTTGTGTTATTTTGTTTTTCGGGATTCGGGTGTGAAAGTAAATTCGGATTCGGAATCCGGATTCGGACGAAATTCGGTAGCGTTCGCACGAACGTTCGTTTCGTTTTCTGTTCTTATTCGTTTCTTATTCGTTTCTTATTCGTTTCTCATTCGTTTCGTTCGTTTGCAGCAAAAGTGACATTTGAGGGGGAAAAAATATTTTTCTCCTTCTCTAATGTCACTTTGCTCCAACGAACGAAACGAAAAAGAAACGAATAAGAAACGAATAAGAACAGAAAACGAAACGAACGTTCGTGCGAACGCTACCGAATTTCGGAAATGGAAATTCGGATTCGTTTGCATTCGTTATGTCTGTAATTCGGAATTCGGATACATCCGAATGTCCGAATTTACGAAAATTCGTCCGAATCTCGATTTGGAACGAAACGAATCGCACATGTCTACTGATCATGTGCATAACACACTTCCTGTCTTTGGGTGGCTTTACTCACTCCTTCACTGTACAGGCGGCAAGCTATCATGACCCAGGCTGTACTTCAAACCTATCCGCATTAATTATCTCCATTGCATGGAGGATTTGGAGATTAGTGGTTTACAGAAGAAAGATGACAAGTGGTTTTTTTCTCAGTTAATCACACAGGAAGTGACATGCACACTGCATTTATGACAAGATCAACAGGTATTTTCTGTGCTTGCTGAAATGTTCTTACCCTGAAAAAAGAAAAGTTATGCAGCCACCACATTTGAGAACTGGTCAGATGCAATATATTACATGTTTATCCTGTATGGATAGGGTGTAGGGACAGGGTTAAGTAGCAAGGGTAGGTGATGCTGGAAGGGTGTGGTTTGGGGTGCCAAACACTTCACACCCAAAAATGCTGTCCTGTATGAAAATGATGTTCCAGCCTAGAAGTATTATTTAATTTCAAGCATTTCTACATCTTTACATATAAACAAACACAAGGAAATTATTCCAAAAAATTATTTTATTTCTTTTATATAAAAAAAACTTAGAAAACATATACACCATTCATTCTTCAAGTTGATCTGAAAGCTGCATGCAGCTTCCCAATATATTCCTCCACGCATACACACACACACATATATAAAAATATAGCCATTTACAATATATTCACATACTTTACAGAATTATTATAAAAAAAGGCACAGAGGGTTTTTATGCAGAGACTGTTGAAAATGTACAAGGCATTTTCTTTGTGCACTTCAATATCTACAACTTCACCCTCCCATAACCCCTCAGTTTTGCACTTGCTCCCATTAAAAAAATTTAAAATATCAAAAGTTTTTTTGCTGTGCAGAAAAGGTAAAAGGCTTCGTTTCTCAAGGCACGATTCCTTTAAGTCAGAACTTCTGAATTTGTCCTCATCATTTGGGTTTGGTCATGTGCATTGAAGCAAAGTCTTATAAATGTTCATTGTCATAGCAAAAACAGTGAAAATATAAAACAATTGTGACTGAAAAGGCACCTGAGATCCTGAATAATTAATGAATAACTATTAAGGCACTGTGAAAGAAAATACTATCCGGCTGAAATGGCTTAGGCAAGAATTTGATTTTTGACTCTGTATGCATGCTCTGAAACGTCATATAAATCTGATGTTTATAGGCCTTTTGCTTCAATGTTGAAAGGTGCTGTCCGTCTTTCAGAATTTCAAATCCATGGTAAAAACCAATTTGGCTTGATTCTTTGGCATCCGCAGAGGTAAAATACCTTAGGATTGTCCCCAGGCTGTGTAGAAGGAACCCTGAATTAGCTTGTCAAGTCCGGACTGATGTGTCAGTGCGCACTCATGTGTAGACTGCTGAGTGTCAGTGTGCTACACAGCAGCCAGACTCCTCGTGCTTGTGCAGTAGAGACATTCTGGAAAAAGTTTTGGAACAACTTTTGCATTGATATTTCTTCACATCTGAATGGGTTTGCAAATGGGCTCTTAAGTTCGACCTGTCTGCGAAAGCTCTATTGCAATGTGGGCATGAGAAGGGCTTTTCTCCTGAAAGGAAGGAAACAGATACTGTATTTAAAAAAAGCTTCTTAGTAAATAAAATGTATCCTTTCTTAGCAAGGTCTGTGATGTTCTCAATAAAGGAAGACACTGGAAATCACTTGCTAGCTACAAACTGACTTATTTGATATGTTAGAGGTGAAAGCAACAGTGATTTGCAAAGTGCAATAAACTATATGAAGCAGACTTTACTATTATCAGTTCAGAGCTCTTAATACAATTCTAGATGGTTGCTGATGAGATAATGTGATTGCTGGACTTTGCTCAGTCTTTGCCTTATTAAATATGCACTACATTATGTTTGGAATCCTTTATAAAACAGAACTGTATAGGTCATGCTCATTGGGAACCTGACTTAGTAAATAGTGTGCAGCATCCTATGGCAACCATAAATCATCAGATTAGACTGTCATACAATTTGCTAAGACCAACAGAGCGTCCTCAAACATGTTACAACTGTTGCAAATCACATGCTGCTACTTTAGGTACAGTTCAAAGTTTACTGTGTACAGTGCTTGCAGGAATACTGGATGCACTGCAGGGATACCAGATGTACTTAAGCTGTTAGACTTAAGTGCATACCACACAATGAGACTGATTTATAAATATGGAGCAAATATGGACAGTCATTCATGGCCAGTAAGACTTCAGATGTCATTAACTGACTGGTTGCTCTGAGTAACAGTCCAGCTTTCATTGATCAACCCCAACGGCTATTATTGCTAAATTGATCAGTACATGAACTCTTTAAAACCTTACACAATAACAAACTACATTGACTATATGCTGCCCCAGCTAAGTCTTAACATTGCATACCACAGTTGCTAATGAACAATGCCTGTAGCATGTTACCTGTGTGAGTTCTGATGTGTCCTTGCAACAACCAGGGTCTGGAGAAAGCCTTTCCACAAATCTTGCACACACAGGGTAATGTGTGGGTCCTGATGTGCATCTTTAGTGCTCCCAGGCTCACATACTCCTTTTCACAGTATTTACAGCTGAATGATTTCCTAGATTGAGCATCGCAGTGCAGTTGCTTGTGCTTGGCCAGCCCAGAGAATGTGGAGTATGTCTTACTGCATAAGCTGCACTGAAACTTTTCCACTTCTATGGCATGGGGGTCAGAAAGTTTGGACTGGATCCTCTCCTCCTCATCGCTGATGGGGCTCTCGGAGCCGCTGTGGTCTTTGGATGAGCCATCCGATTGGGGAGGAGGACTGACACGTCCCAGAGATGAAGGATATCCTGACAGGGGTGACAGGTCACTGGGCAGGGGAGGAGGAAGCAGGCTAGTCCACACTGTGATAGGGCTGTAGGCAACTGTGCTGAGGATGTCTGCTTGGGGGATCACTGACACCGGGTATCTTTCATACAGGAATGGAGAGATGATCACTGGAGATACAGACCACATAAAACAAGAATAAGTATGTACAATAAAAACTAAGTAATAATAAGTCATAAAACACATGATGCTCAATTCACAAAGCTAACACAATAGGACAGGTATCTATGTTTTTTAAAAAAAATAGTGACATCTGTGGTTGAGTCCAATGTCATTTTTACAGATTACAGTTACATGGCTGAAAATTGAGTGCCTTGGGCTGGTGTTAAAGTTTGTGAATTGAGCCTATAATCATCAAAACATAAATCAAGTCACACAGGGCTTATTTAATATACATTAACACTCAGCTGTGTGCTAACACTACATAACAGTCTTGCTCAATCTTATCCAGGGTTTTGGGGAACTCTGGGGTTCCTACAGAGGCTGTTAAGGGTCCCTTGAGCAATGAGGGTCTTAGGGTTTTATTGAACCATAGGGTTCCTCCAGAGATTGCTTAAGGGCCCCTTGAGCAATGACGGTCTCAATCTCTGCCAGGGTTTTGTTGAACTCTAGGGTTCCTGCATAGGTTGCTGGGAGCTCCTTGAGTAATGAGGGTCTCAATGTCAGCCAGGGTTTTGTGGAACTCTGGGGTTCCTCCAGAGTTTGCAGGAGGTTCCTTGAGTAATGAGGGTCTCAATGTCAGCCAGAGTTTTGTGGAACTCCAGGCTTCCTCCAGAGGTTGCTAGGGGTTCATTAAACAAAGAGCAATTTCAGCCTCTCAGATAGGTAACCTTTGCTCTTGCTCTTTTAAACTATCTGTAAAAGGGCATTCTTCCTACTGACCACCAATATAAGGAGCATTCTTCCCACTGACCATCACCAAAATGTATCGTAAGCAGTAGGTCTAAAAATTATTAGGAGGGGTTCCCTGAAACTAGAAAGCTATATAAAGGATGCCTACTTGTTAAAAAGTTTGAGAAAAGCTGCTATACAAGTTAATTCGGTAAGTGAGGAACTGGAAAAAAGTTTTCCGATCAGAGGAATTCTATGTATGAATGAGTTGTAGAAGAGCACAGACAAGGTGTTCAGCAGCGGCAGGGTTAATCCAGTTACCTGTGTGGTTGTCCAGCTCTCCATAGTTGGGCTTTTTGGAGGAGTTGAAGTGTTTCTTGACCAGGAAGGATCGTGGCATCTTCAGCCCTGAGCTGGCTAGTCCCCAGATGTGCTTTGCTTGGGCGGAAAGTAACGGTTTGCACGAGGAGCTCTGCCTATAGCATTGTCTGAGTCCATACACTGGAGTGAAGGGGCACTGCTCAGGCTTCTTGAAAAGTGCTGTAAATAGCTACTAGTCAAGTGCAGGAGGGGAGGGACATCGCCGACTCCTCCAATCGTTTCCTAAAGGGCTGAGAGCCAGTTCACACATCCAGCGTGCTTTCTTGGGAGGGTTTTTTGGGTGAAGGATCCAATCGTTTGGATAGGAGAAGCTGTCTCATATTTCAGATCCTCCCAGGGGGACAGCTATGGAGAGAGGAAGACTCGGCTTGTTTCATCAGATTGTCAGATAACTTGCTGTCTGCTCTGACACTGCACGGGGGAATGAACATCGCTCCCACCTCTATGGGCGCAATGCCTCCCATCCAGTGCAATATAATGTGATAGACAGGCATGGCTAATGAAGGTATAAGATTCTAATATATACGCCTGACTTCCTATCCGAGCAGTTTCTATTGACACAGCGCTGTATAGTTCTGATGTGTATAGTTACAATATAACTGTATTTGTAAACATATTCAGATACGAGAAATGGTTTTGATACATTGTAAGTGAAAATAATCTAACATTCCAATGAGCAGGGGTATGTATTAAGGACCCATTCACACCACATCGCTGCATTAATGGCACGCTTCCGTGCCATGAACGCACGCAACCACACAACGCACATACTATGCGGTACATTGCAGGAAGTGCGTTGTGTTGCCATTCACTCCAAGTGCACAGCTCCGGCCACAATGCGCCTGACTGCGCTGCAACATATCGTGTCACAATATATTTTGTTGCGATGCAGTGCGGCTAAATAACATAGTGCATGCACAACATGCAACGCATCTACCCAGATGATTTGCATTGCCCTTCATGTGAAAGGCACCCGAAGCACAGCTCTGGCCGCAATGCGCCCGACCATGCTGCAAGAAGCTGTACTGCAATATCGCGTGTTGCGTTTCAGCTTAAAAAAAGTAGTGCATGCACTACTACGTGTACTGAAGTACCATGCATTGCGTTGCAGCTAAAAAAGTAATTTATGCACTAACTTTTTTTATCTGCAATGCAATGCACGGTATGGCCACAGTCGAGTGCCCATTGGCCAGAGGTGCACTTGGGGTGCCAGTCACATGAATGGCAACGCAACAAACCTCCTGCACTGTAATGCACGATACGTAGCAAGCATAATTGCACAGAATTGTGATTAATGCAACACTATGGGGTGAATGGGCCCTAATTCTCCACTCCTGGCAGGAGAAGAAATTTCCTCTTGCAGTTCTTCACCCCACACGCTGCAATGGTTCACACCTGAGCAGAAGCGACCACCCATAAGTGTTGATGTGTGTTTTTTCATGCGTTATGGCAGCCCATTCATTACAAAGGGCTTCTCTGCGTACCCTAATTGCTGCTTTTTTCTCTCCAAAGTACATCACACCAAAACGCATGGCACTTTGTTACCATGCATTCTGATTTCACGCATGTGCAATGTCAAGGTTCATTGGGGTGCCATTAAAAATGAAGGTAGGTGCACTGCAGGGGACATATGTACTTTGCATGCATTCCACCAGCGCACAGATGTGATTGGGGCTATAAGCTCATTAAGCCTAGGGGTAAAATAATACGCTGCAATACTTTACCTTACCTTATACCTTGCACTTGCGGGCACATTACATCTGTGTGACTGGTCCATGCATTTAGGTTATTTAAACACATGTGAAATTTTCTGGGAAGTATAAAAAAAGTTTATGCTCTAGATCAAGTTCTCCTGCATTTAGATGCACCTGCCTATGCATGGGTGTAGCCTTGTTTACATGCGGTAAGACTTTTTGAATGCACAGAATTATATTTTTTTCAAAACACAGCCAAACTGATTGCACCTAAACGTAGGAACACATGCAGTTTGAATGATGCTATTCAAAAATGATTACATGTGTTTATATGTGTTTGAAATGTCCTTTAAATCAGTATTTCTCCATCTGGGCATCACAGGTTCTGCGCACAGCTGCCCATAAAAACAAATGTCTGTATGCAGAAGTTTGTTCTGGTGCTTCCGTAAACACATGCATGCACATGGACGTACAACCCAGAACACAGACTGAAAATATGTTCATGTGCATGTTTACACAAGCACTGGTCTATATCTTGCCATTGATTTCTGTGGGCAGCTGTACACAGTAACTGTTGGGTCTATTCACTAAGCTGCTGAGGGCAGCCGAGTGAACAACCGACCCCAAATGAAGTGAGCCGAACGCTGTCCGGCTATTCACTTCAGGCTAGTACTGCAGATTTCATACGTATATTGGCTGAAATCAGCAGTACATCGGGTGGCTTACTGTGGCTTCGGGTCGGCCGACCATGCTGAGCATGGTCGGCCGACCAGAAGTGCAGAAGGAGTCCGACTGAGTCGATCCAACATCTGGATCGGCTGAGCCGAACCTCCGGCAGGCTTCTCACTGCTGTTCGGGCTATTCTTAAAGATGCCGAACAGCAGTGAGTGAATAGCGGAATGCCGGAATAGCGGCATTCGGCTCGGCTGTTCTGCTCGGTCCCTCAGAGGCACCGAGCAGAACAGAAAAAGAGTGAAAAAAGTAAAAAAAAGTAAATAGAAAACGATTGTGCGGAGCTAGCAGTGACAGCTAGCTCCGCCCAATAGTTTCCTATTGTCCGGCGGCTCTGCTGCTGTAAAAGAAAAAAGAAAAAAAAACTCTCCCGGGCGCTCTGGGAGCCTCCCGCTCCAAGCCGCCCAGGAGAGAAGCACTGATGGGTCTTTTTTTCTTTATTCTTAAACGATCGATGTCAGAATAGAAAAGAAAAAAAAGAATTTCCCATTGAAAAGCATTGGGACATTAGTATTGGCTATTTCAATTTGCAATAGCCAATAGTAAATGATGCATATGCGTTCGGCTTGGCTGAGCCGCTCGGCCATGATCGGGAGCTGTACGGGCTATTGTGAATAGCCCGTACAGCACCCCTTCGGTTCTACTGAACCGAAGGGGTCCTGGGGCCGAAGCTAGCCGAAGGATCGGCCGAAGCTACGGCCAGATCCTTCGGCAGCTTCGTGAATAGACCCCTTAGGCCTGGTTCACACCTGAGCGTTTTTATGTGCAGATCTATGCGCGCGAAAACACATTTTGATTCAAGCCAATGGCAACTGTTCACACTTTACCGTTGCATTGCACATAGAAACATGTCCATCGTTCAAAAAGATGCAGGAGCTTTTTTGATTCTGATCCTGCATGGTTTTGGTTCCATAGACTTGTATTGAAATTGCGCATGTACATCTGCAATGCACGTTTTTGCACTTTTTTTTTTGCGATAACCATGCAGTTTACCCAGCATGGAGAGAGGACATCCCCCTGTCACACAGCACACTGGGGTGAGGATGGAGGACTCAACACTGAACCACATGTCTACTGAGAACTTCATTAGACTGGTCCAGGCCCAGGTCTGCCTTTATGATCAGAGTCATGCAAACTACAAGAGCAAGGGCAGTCGCAGGAGTGGCTGGTGGACCATTGGGGCACAAATATGGAGCAACGGGGATGGTTTTCCCCATCAATTAAAGGTGCCAAAGGTAATGTGTGTTGGTCAATTCTTGTTTCATGTATTTCTTGTTTATTGCAGAGTTTGTTGTAATATTGCAGCATTTTTTCCCTTTTGCATGCATGTTTTCCTAGCATAGGGCTTGACATCATCAGACCTGCAACTGTTATCCCAGCATCCATGGGACTACGGTTGCCATGGCATGCTGAGTAGAGGGATCAATACTCAACAATGCAACACTGTCTTGTAAGAACCACTCACCTCAAAAACAGGAAACAGGAACTTAGGTCATGGCTGTTAGTGCCTCTCATTGGACGCCTGTACATCTCTATGCAGGGAGAAACGCGTGTAATGCAAATTTTTAAAAGCAAAAATGCACAAAATCATGCAAAAACTGCAAACACCTAGGTGTGGACCTAGCCTTACAGTCATCATGTTTCTGAACAGCTGGCCAAAACTTTCTCAGCTCAGCATCCATGAACTTCCTGTCTAGTACAAGATCACAAGGGACAGAGCATTCTACTAGCTTGGAGAAGGGAAGAGGGAGGAGGCGTGGGGGTAGGGGAATGGCTTGCCTTGATGTGCCTGTATGTTTATGGAACAGTAGAAAGGTATCATGGCACACTCACAAGCCCGCATGTAAAACAACTTGTCTCACCACCAAGGTTAATAACAGAGGTTTGGATACACGTCTTCTGCAGAAAATGTGAAAGCCGCACAGCCGCGCCAAGGCACCTCTTATAGTGCGGTCCTAACTCTAAACTATGAGAGTCTCCATCTTAGAGCACAGGGGGGCAGAAGATTTCGAATTGGGTGCAGGTTTGTCAGGAGGAAGCCCAACCTCCTTAAAGGCACAGAAACACACAAGGGATCCCGCACATCCAAATGGCAGCTGAGAACCCCCATGCGTCACTGCACCAAATCGGTCAAGCAAAACAAATGACAAACGCACTCAGCAATTCGTCACCGGCTATACAGTAAGGTGCACACAAAATGGGCTTTAAACATGAAATGTGTGTCCCTGTGCCTTTAAGGAGGTTGGGCTTCCTCCTGACAAGCCTGCACCCAATTTAAAAACCTGTTAAAAAAGTTTAATATCACCTTACGCCTAGGGATAATCTATGTTACACTGTTAACATTCTGCCATCCCTTGGCCTTGTATTAAGCTATATATTTGTATTTTCCACACTATGGCTAAGTGCTTGGCACTCTTTCCCTGCAGTAATGGGGTTCTTGGTTCAGTTTCCACATGAGTCCCTGTCTGTGTAGAGTTTGCATGTTGTCCACTTGTTTGTTTCAGTGCTTTCATTTCTCCCCCGTGTGTTTGTATGACTCCAGTATGATCCTTATACTCCATCGCAGACCTAGACTGACATATATGTTTCATTATACTCTGTGCAATGCTGTGTGATATAGCAATATTTATGTAAGCACAAGAAGTAATA